GAGGGGTGAGGGCCAGAGGGAGAAGCAGACTCCCTGCTGAGCAGGGAGCCCGATGCGGGACTCGATCCCGGGACTCCAGGACCATGACCTGAGCCAAAGGCAGTTGCTTAACCAACTGAGCCACCCAGGTGCCCACCTCCTCAAATCTTTTATTGATACTTTTAGCACTTGGTAAAATGGAGTTGATAGTTTTGCCGTCTTTGTTCCAGGTGAACTAATACTTAGTACCTCATCCAAGGGTTGGTGCAGGAAAAGTATAAAGCAGGGGTTTGGTCACACTTACACTTGAGAAGCTAGTGCCACGGATTAACAATGAAAGACAGCCATGCAGTCCCCAGGCCAAAAGGCCCTTGAGTTGTTGGGCCTTTCCCCAGCCAACTTTCTGCCCCCTCTCCTGGAAACACCAGTCAGGTCTGTTGATCAGCAGCAGTCAAAGCAGAGAAGACCCAGTGGTTCGCCTCCTTCTAACTCCTTGGCCAACTTCTCTGAACAGAGTTTTTGAGAAAGGAGACAGCACAGCCCTAACCTTCATTTGATTATTAGCCATAGGAAAAGACAGCATTAAACACTGACCTTCACCTAAAGCAATTAGTCTGAGCTAGAGTACCAAAAAGAGTGAGGAATTTAAAGTGAACCTCTCAGGTTGGCTGCTAGGAGTATAAATGGGCACAAGCACTTTGGAAATGTACTTGGTAGGATTTACTACAGCTAAACATAGGCCGACCCTGTTACTCAGTAACTCCACTCCTAGGCGTATACCCAACAGAAATGAATGCTGCGTTCACTGAATGACATCTCCAGGGTCTTCAGAGCAGTACCATTCGTTAGAGCCCCAAACTGGAAAGAACCCCAGCGTCCATCAGCGGTGGAATGGACAAACGGTGGCACAGTCCTGTAGTGGAATTCCACACACAACAAAAAGGAATGAACTGCTGTACACACGGGAGGGCTCTCACAGACCTAATGTTAAACAAAAGAAGCCAGACATGAGAGAGTAGATATGACATAGTTACACGTATACAAAGTTGAAGAAAATCACCTGCGGACAAACGGGTCAGGATAATGGCTGCCTCCTGGGAGGGAAGAGGTGGGGGATGCATATTGGTTGGGAAGGGGCACGAGAATTTCCTGCGGCCCTGGAAGCATTCTGTATTTTGATCTGAGGAGTGGTTACAGGAGTGTACACAGAAGTAAAACTCCAGTGAGCTGTATCCTTCAGCTTAGTGCGCTATAGAATGTATCTGTTAGACCTGCTCACTGGGACATCAGAGGTGGAAGGCTTCGAGACACCTGTCAGTGCAAAATGGCAATATTTGTCCATCTTGCCTCTGCTCTGCTTTGTGGAACAGTCGGCTGCACATTGTGCTGCACGCTGCCAGACGCGGCTGCCCCGTTTCCTAGGGTGAAGTATTTTCTACGTAAACAAGTTAGGAGGGAAATCAGTCATTTCTCTGCCTGTTTCTGGGCAGCAGGACCAGAGCAGGGTAAGAATTAATATGCAGAGGAATGGACAGGAAGCCTGTCTGCCTGTGCACATTCCCTGCTTCACATGGGTCTTAACTCTACTAGGCTCTCCGCTCGGCCGCCCAGCTCTCTTGACAGGCAATGGAAATGATTAATGATCTTTTTTAAAGCCAGGAAAAAGTAGCGAGGGTCCTTGGCAGGGCTGTGTCCTGGGTCCTGGACCCTCACCCCTGATCAGTGGGCAGGAAGGCAGCCATGTGACTCTGTCTGGGGTCCCTGCCCCCAATTGCATCTGGTCATCATTGAAGTGGGCCCATTCTCTGCGGTGGGGAGGAAGTCGCCCTCCCTCCCACACTCCTGCCATCTCCCATCTTTGTCTCCAGTGCCCAAGGAGGCCATCTCCTCCGTCTGCCCTCACCCCTACCCCTAGCTCTATCTCCACAGTCTGAGTGGCAGGAAGGAGAGCAAAGTGCCAGGGAGCAGGACTTTTTTTTGTTTGGCTCCATCTGGCTGGAAGCTCCTGATGACAGCTTTGGCCTTGCGAGTGCCCGTGCCCAGCAGCATTCCCACCACCCAAGGGTTAAAGCCCCAGGAGCCCCACAGCCTCGCTGGGTCCCTGGCCCTCATAAAAGCCTTTTCTACGCTGTCCCTTGGGCTGCCTCAGGCTCCCTGGCTGAAATCTGATAAGGGCCCTCTTTGTTGGAACTGTCAGTCTCTTTTATTGAGGAGGGAACTGGAGACCAGCGGCATTTCTTGGGGTACAGATAAGGCCCTGGATTCCTGTCAGAAGGAGCATGATTAATTACCCTCAATCCTAGCTCCTGCTTTGATAGCAGTGACTGACAGTACACAGGCTTCCCCGTCAGGTACTCACACCCCCTCTGGGAGGCGTGATGGGGGCGGAGATTCGGCCTCCTGCAGGGCCAACACCAGTGACCCACAGAGCGCTCTCTGAAGTGGCTGCTTGCTTCCTTCCTGGTTCTTAGCAGGTTGCTTTTGCATTTATTGTGGACAGAGACCTGTCACCTCTCAGATGAAGAGCCTCCTTAGAGGAAGATCTAATCCAGCCCAGAGAGCAGGCCAGAGACACCCCTCTTCCCCTCAAGGTTGAGGAAAGAACGAATGTTGTGGTCTGTGGCCACACAGGGACCTTCCTAGGAGAAGTTCCTAAACCACCATCTCAAGGTCACTTGGCAACATTATTCCATAATTCAGGCAAGCTCCTAAAACCAAGCCACCCTCCCTTCGGTAATAATCACGACTATCAATTTTTGTTTTAAGTTTTTATTCATAGACTCATGGGACTGAAAGTCATCTAATCCAAATTCCTCATTTCACAGATGGAGAAACTGAGACCTGAATATGTCCAATCCTCATCCCCACCCCCCAGTATGATATATTGGTTCTCGTTCAGAAGGTAAACTCAGCTAAAAGGCCTTCTCCCCCTCTCTCTTCATAGCTGAGTCTCCTTGGGACAAGGGAGATGGGTGCCAGGTCCATTAGAGCAGACTGTAGAGACAGACCAGCCTGAGGATCCAGCCTCTTTCTTGGTTGTCAGAAGAATGGAAGCCAGGACAGGTTTTGTGTCTGGATTGTCTGGATAACGTTGAGAAAACCATACCGTCATTTCGAGCTGGCACTCAGAATAGTCTCAGCTTTGTTTCTGACAGCACCCGGGGGCCTCCTGCCCTGGGAGCTATTTTTAGCAGTTTCACAGAGGGCCAGACTCTGGGAAGAACGTGCCCAGTCTCCTTATCCATTGATCTCTGAACCAGGGTGCCTGGCTGGACCACAGAGCAGGACTGTGGGGCCCACCACCTGGTGCCAGTGCACCCCAGACCTGTGGTTTCTCCCCAGAGGGGCTGGGAAGAAGTCACTTTTTGGTTAGATTTACAGTCTTGACTTCAAATGCCACTTTCCCCTTCCTTGTCCTAGCTCCCATACCTACCTCTGTTTCCCCCGCCCTGAGCAGTTCTCAGCCTCATGCATTCACACTCCACGACTATAAAAAGGCGCATTTTTCATGAGATTTCTACAACTATAACATCGTTACCTTTCAAAAAAGCCACCTCAAATAACTAGACAGTGCAGTGACTACTCAGAGTAAATGTATAATTCCTCTCTAGGGGGTTGTTTCCAGAAGCAGTGTGAGCCACACCTGAGAACCTCTATGGTTTATGACTACACCTCATCTTCAAATAAAATCAGTGTAAACGGCCTGGTCACTTCGTATTCTCCTGGCTTGCCTCCATGAACGACCATTTCTAAACGTAAAATACACCCTTTATGTTTGAAGGTTTACCACCATTGGAGATTCTAATGAAAATAATGCCAACTCAGAAGGCCATTTGCAAATGGATTTCCAAAACCGCAGGGTAGCTGGTTCCCCAAGGTGACTGTTCTGGAAGACATCACTGCATCGGCTGGGCAAGCCCCCTGCCTGATCTTACACACTCAGCCGCGCCCATCTGTGTATGGCACAGACCCAGCTATAGTTCACTCTTTAACCCCTGCTTCCTCATCCCTTCGACCCCACTGAGTGCAGTCATAGATTCTTTACCTTCTCCAACCCCCCTGGCTCTCCATCTGTTCTGCTGCTGCTTGTCCACTTTGCGTGGGACGTGGACACAAAGAGCTTATGCACCCTGGGCCTCCATTCCCAGGCTGTTTACTAAGGGTCGTGACCCTAATGAACCTGCTGGGACCTGAGAGGAGAAGGTGACTTCTGCTCAGGGCTGTCAGCATCAGACACGTGATGCTGGTGACAGGGCTGGCGGGCATACCACAAGCATGACAGAAATGCGTCAGAGGGTCCCAGTTGGGCAACCCATAGCTGGTTGCTTTGACTGTGAGAAACCTTTTTTTCCCCCCATCTGCACGACAGTTTAATCTGTTAAACACTATAATTCTTAAGGGCATGGTGAGGGGGAAGCAGTCTCTCTCTGCCTTCACGGAGCTTACAATCCTCCTAGGATGCCAGGTGAATGTACGTAAAACGATTAGAGACTACCTGCTGAGCTTGTAGGGCTTGTAATAGGAATTCTGAGAGAGAAGAAATCCCCCTGAACTGGGATAGTTAGAAGATTCTTCCTGAAGGCCAATGTGTAGAGGATTTGAGCAGAGGCAGGTCACGTTAGGCTTGATGAGGGAAAGCACAAAGCAGAGAGTAGAGTAGAAATGAGCCTGGTCTGGGGAGGGTCATGAGGAGACCCAGCTAAAGAGTGAGAGAGTGCGTCGTCGGGATGTTTGAAATACTTCACAGGCAATCTTTTAAGGGGTGTGGGGGACCCGGGTGATGAGACTGGGCAGGCGTCAGGGTCTGTGGTGTGGAACAAGGACGCGAGCATCGTGGTGGCCACAGTGCGCAGGTGGAGCGCGTGGGTAAGAGGCCGCCGTGGGCGGAAAGGAAGATACGTCTGAGAGGCGCCTCCAAGGAAGAATCAGTGGAGCCTCCTAACCACCTCACGGTGGGCGATGGGGAACGAAGAGGGGCCAGTGCTGCCTGAGATCTCAGAGGACAATGGTGTTGCTGGAAGAAGAGGAAGTGGTGAGAAAGGAGGGGCTGGCTTTGGGGATAACGGTGAGCTCAGTGTGAACATTCTGACTTGGAAGTGAACAGGTCACCGTGGAGATGTCCTAGAAGCTTCTGGAAATGTGAGGGGACCTTGAGAGTGGTCCTTCCAGAGTCTCCACGTGATGCCATGAGGATGCAAACTGGCCTGGACCATGAGTGTGCTCGGGCAGACAGGCCTCCAGAAGGAGGTGGACCTTGGCCCTGGTCCTACCAGGAGACCAGTTCTGCCAGACCAGGCTCTTGTGCTTATGTCAGGAATCAGATTTATTGTCCAGAGCAGCACAGAGAGAAAAAGTTAACCAACACAAGCTGCATGTCTTGGCAGGGTACCCACAGTCCTCTGCTATTTTTACCTGTGTATCTTTGGATCTAACACTATGACCCCTTTGTGTTTGACCCTCCGAGGACCAGCTGACCAAGACGGAGTTCTCGAAGACCTCATGCCCCCTCCTCACACCGCTGCCACACAGCACCCCCCCCCCATGTTCATGCTGCTTGCTCTTCATGGGACCCTTTGCTCCATTCTCTTGCTTGAATTACCCTGTGAAAGAGTTGTTGAGGCCAGCATTTCAGGGCTGGGAAGAAAATGCCATTCCTTGAGGGGAAAGAAGCAGGAGGAGCTGAAACAAACAGCACTGCTCGAAAATCAGGCTGGCTCACCGCCCACCAGGCAGTCAGCGAGACCTCGGCAAGACTGGGCGGCAGGAGGGGGCCGAGGCAGAGGAGAGCAGCCTGTGTACAGTAAAAGGAGTTTGCCATCAAAAGGCAACAAGTCTCATACCCTGCCCCGGACGGTGACCCTTCCCTGTGGAATTCTCCCCTCTGACCTCCAGATCATTAATCCTGAGGCTGCCAAATGACAGTCATCCATCACGCCTCCTGCCGAGCATCCCAGCGGCCTGTGGAAGGACCCTGGGCCCGCCCTCCCTGCCGTCCCCTGGTGCTCATTAGTGGGCCTTCCTGCCTGGTGCCAGGCTTCCTAATCAAGTCCCTGCTCCTCTCACTTCCCTTCGGGGCCAGTGGCGGAAGCTGCTCTGACCCTCCCTCTTTCAGAGGCCAGGGAGGGGTGGAGCGATTAGTGGGGAGAGAGTCGTTCAGTGGCTTTTCATCCCCCTGGAGACCTGTGTGTGTCCAGCAGCCCCTTTGACTCAGTGGGGACACAGGAGAGAAAACATCTCTCTGTCCTGCCGCAGGAGAGGAGGAAGCAGGCGGTACTGTTACAGAGTGCACCGGAGCCGTGCAGGTGGGTGGTGGAACCGCTCAAGTGGCTTCTGAAGGCCCCAGAGGGGTGTGAGTTGCCACATCATTAGGAAAGAATCTGGACTCATCCTGCTCGCCAAAAACAAAACAAAACAAAAACCCAACTTTGAGGCCACCTAGTGCAGCCCTCTTATTTACAGATGGGAAGACAGAGCCAGAGGCTCATGTTTTAAGCAAGACCACAAAGCCTCTGAGTCAGACCGGTCTTTCTGCTCATCCCAAGGAGAACTGGCAGCTAGTCTTGATAGCTTCCAGCTTTGGGAATTTGAGTCAGATTAAAGCAGATTCATGAACATATTTCCAACTCTGCAAAAGCTGGGCACATGCATATGTCTTCTTTCTCTGCTTGATGACACAACCCTCTGTTTCTCTATTTGGACAATCACAGGGACCCCCATCAACCGAATCCCCATCATGGCCAAGCAGATCCTGGACCTGTATATGCTGTATAAGCTGGTGACAGAGAAGGGGGGCCTGGTAGAGATCATCAACAAGAAGATCTGGCGGGAGATCACCAAAGGCCTGAACCTGCCCACATCAATCACCAGCGCCGCCTTTACCCTGAGGACCCAGTGAGTGGCCGGGGCCTTAGGGAAAGGAAGCTGAGGCTGGGAGAAAGGGGATGTTTTAACCTAGAGGAGAGGAAGGAAGGAAATTCCACAGTACAGTGGGCAAGATGGGAGGAATTCCCAATGCAGCCAGGAGCTTTCTGAGATGAATCCCTTTCTACACCTAAGTGATCATGAGAGCCACCATTTCCCAAGTGTCTGCCTAGGCTACTTTGCCATTCTGTTTCTTTCAGACCTCACCATCAACCCTGTGAGGTAGGTGCTGTCTCATTCTTCAGGAAACAGAAACTGAGTCTCAGAGGTTCAGTGGTTTGATCAAGGCCATACCAGCTAGTAGTAGTAGAGCTGAGATTCACCCCTGGGCTTCTGGCCCCGTAGCCACTCTTTCCAGGACGTTATCTCCCACACGGCACCTCCACCCTAAGCCTAGCCCTTCCTACCCGACACTCTGCTTGCCCGGCAACAGAGGACCTGGGATTTGGGACTTATTTTTGTCATCATTTGAGTTAATTATGGGGGTCCTAGGAGCAGGGGAACCAAGAGTAGCATCAGAGAATGAGGGCTGAGGGGAATCTATTCGTTGGCACACACTAGTTGTTGCTCTCTGGAGAATATGGAATGAGCATCAGCGAGGCAGAATGCTGAAAAGGAGAAGGGCTTTATCTTTGGAACTGTTCCAGCAGAAGTTGGGGACGGAGCTGTAATCAGTACAGCAGTCCTTCTCTCAAGGTTCTTGGGTAGAGAATTGCTTCTTGGGACATGTGATGCAAAGAGGGACAGGAAACAGTGCTCCTACCTGACCAGCCTGACTCAGAATGGTGAGGGCATCCAGGAGCCAGGAAGACATTGCAAAAACATTTCTAAATGGCACCTAAAACGGTGCCAAAACAAACATGAAACATGAGTGATGATGTTCTTTATTTCTCTTAAGGAACGGTGCCTCCATTTGGAGCAGAGTTTGGTACAGTGTTGAGTAGCAGCTAGAGGGGCCTGGGGCAGGGCATCTGGCCACCCTGGACCTTTCTCTTCTGCCAAGTGATCCTGTGTCCCAGAGGCCTGTCCCACAGAGACCCATAAACTTAAACTGGGTGGCCTCTGGTACCGTTCTGGACTATTCTCCTCCTTTCCTTCCTTCCCTCCAGGTACATGAAGTATCTCTATGCCTATGAGTGTGAGAAGAAAGCCTTGAGCTCCCCGGCCGAGCTCCAGGCCGCCATCGACGGCAACCGGAGGGAGGGCCGGCGGCCCAGCTACAGCTCCTCCCTCCTGGGCTACTCGCCTGCTGCCGCCACCGCCGGGGCCCCTGCCCTTCTCTCCCCACCCAAGATCCGCTTCCCCATCCTCGGGCTGGGCTCCAGCAGTGGCGCCAATGCCAGCAGCCCTCGGGTACCCCCCGCAGCCACTCTCAGGAAAGGTCTGTAGGGCCCCACGGGGAGGAGGGTGGGCAGGGCGGGAGTGGCAGAGCCCACTGTCAGGTGCGGGGCAGGGGATCGTGAATCAGTCCAGCACTTGTGCCTTTGCCAGGTGATGGCGTCCCGGTGACGACAGTGCCCGTGCCAAATCGCCTGGCCGTGCCCGTGGCCTTGGCAGGCCAGCAGGCCGGTACCCGGACGGCCGCGCTGGAACAGCTGCGGGAGCGGCTGGAGTCAGGGGAGCCCCCCGAGAAGAAGGCGTCCAGGCTGTCGGAGGAGGAGCAGCGCCTGGTGCAGCAGGCCTTCCAGCGCAGCCTGTTCAGCGTGGCACGGCAGCTGCCCATGAAGATCAGGATCAACGGCAGGGGTGAGCGCCAGGCCCCGGGGCAGGGCCTCCCCTCCTGCTGGGTGCCGACCTGGGCTCCCCTCCAGGGCCCGTTGACATCCTGGGACTGGGGTTCACATCCCAGAACGGTCTCAAGGCCAGAAAGTCACATGGTGCTTCTGTGGCCACTGGGATCTCAGCTCACCAAGCTGACCAAAAATTGCCTTAGGCAGCGCCCTGTTCTCTGGCAAAAAAGAGGAGTCCAAGGAGGAGGGGCCAGAGGCCCTCAGGGACAGCTGCTGTGCTCCTCTTCCTCACCAGCCTTTTGATCTGTCTAAATGAAAGGGCTCAGCCTTCCCCCCAGCACCTCCCCGGATGTAGAGCTGGGCTCTGGGCTCTGGGCTCTGGGCGGAAGGCAGCCCCTCCATCCCCAAGCCTCCACGAGGGGCCTGAGTGCCTCAGGCCAGGCTGCCTGTGACCCTCCCGAACCAGGGGAAAAGAGGAAATACAAGTTTGGTAGCATCGTTGACATCCTTCCCTCCCCCTCCTCGTTTTTTCAGGTGCCCTGCCTTCTCCTCTCCTGAATCACACACTCCATGCCCCTTGTTCCCTCCTCCCCCTGCCCCCACACTTTCTTTGCGGTTCTTGCCCTTGACACTGTCGCAGAACAAACTTCAGCAAGCATGTGATGGGAAGAAGTCAGGTGTGAAGGGAGCTGTGCGTATTCGCAGGCAGCACTCCCTGCCCCCCTGTCCCCAGGTGAGGAGCAGAAGGACGCTGGCGGCAACAGCTCTGCTCTGTGCCCCTCTCAGGGCCGGTGCCCCTGGTCCTGCACAAGCCAGACACTAAGAGAAAAACAGCTCATCCGGAAGAATTCTTGGCTGCGTGGTGAAAGGGCGGAGTCTGGGCTGAGCCAGGCAGAGGCCCCGGGTACCAGCACCTGCAGCTTTCACAGATGGTCAGGTTGAAATGGGTCACAGGTGCCGGGCCACACACTGGGCAGGCAAACCCTCTCCTTGAGGACCCAGCCCGCTTAAGTGGAGGAGAAGGAAAGGCAGGTTCTCAGAGGTAGTGACTGGGTCTTCCTCATCTCCGGTTCCCCAGCCCGATGGGTCAGTAGGTGCTTAGTTAGGGTTGGCCGAGTCATGCTGAAAGTGTCGGTGCACAGCCAGGAGCCAGGGTCAGTGCTTTGCTGCCTGTGATCCCTTTCCTTGGACAACAGAGGAAGCGGGGGAAGTAAGTGGCTCAACGGAAAATGGGGAAAGCAAGTGATAGGACATTGGCAAGTCTGGGTTCTCTTGCCAGACCTGACGCTCAGGAGAAGGTTGTACGGATGCTTTCTAGAAGTGGGAGGCCTTGGCCAGCTGTGGCCAGTCCAGGAGAGTGGGACAGTCTCCGAGAGGACATTGCAGTGCCGGGAGGCCTGACCAGGCCCGCTGTCTCCCTTGTCCCCAACAGAAGACAGATCAGAGGCCTCGGCTGCAGCGCTGAACCTGGCCACTGGCAGCATCGGGAGCATCAACATGTCTGTGGACATCGATGGCACCACCTATGCAGGTGAGGTTCTTGGAGCTCTGAGGGAGGTCCACAGCATGGCAGTCCTGGCTGGCCCTGTTTGTCACCCTCCCATCTGAACCCCCTTCCCAGGGGTGGCTTTCTTGCATGTAGTCTCAAGGTTCCAAAGGTTAAGTGGTTTTTCCGGCCAGAAGCTGAGGGTTGCTAACTGGATGACAGATCCCCCCAGCTTTGACAGAACGGTAGAAACCCTCCGTCTGACCCTTTTGGACCAATGGCTGGCTCGTTAATTACAACCGTCCTTTAGTGTGAAGCTACCCATGCCCTAAACATCATGTCATAAGCCACCTGTGACATACCGCTCTCCTCGGACCGGCTCAACCCCGCTCTCCCTAAACACCGCCTGTCATTCCCTTTCTTTAAAATGGATCAAGGACTGACTTGCAAGCAGAGGAATCTGAGTGCGGCAGAAGCAGCCCCTGTTTGTAGGATTTCGCCCAGTCCTTCACAGTTGTCCTCAGTCTGGTTGGGCAGTGGTTTGTTTGTTGGCTGGTTGGTTTAGCACCTCTACCGAGTCTTTCCAATTGCTGGAAACCAGCCCTTTCCCCACCCCCATTTCTTTGGTTTAGGTGTGAGTTTCGGCATGAGCCCAGCCAACTCTTACTAAGAGCAGCTTGATGAGTGGGGGCCGGAGAGCCCAGGCATGCTAGCCTCATGTTGGACAGAGGGCTTGGGAGGTGCCCGGTGGAGGGGCTTAAAGCTGCACATTCTGTCACACTGGGGGCATTTCCTCAGGGCCTGTTCTGTCCCTTTGAATGTTCCTGTTCTGGGGGCTGGGCCCCGTTGGGGCACCACACTGCAGGCCTCATGCTCTGGATCTCTGCTGGGCCACCAGCGGTGGGCATCAGGGTTGCATCCAGGGAAGGGACAGAGCTCCTGGAGGCAGCCTGCAGAGAAGCAGTGATGCCAAGTTGCCTGCCAGTCACCGCATGGCTGGTGCTTCGGAGGCCACATTCAGAAGTCTCTGCCTTACACCGGGGGCCCCTCGAGGAGACCAGGCGAGCCAGCAGGCAAGGCCTAGGTGCCCTTTGCCATCTGGTGGTGTTCGGTGGCCTAGGAGGCTTGGGGGCTGTGAGGGGGTCCACGGAGAAAGCAGGGAAGGAGGGGATCCGTGTCTGGAGCTGATAATCCTCTCCCTCTCTTGGGAGAAAGGAGGAGATCACACCTCCTTCTCTCAGAATGGGGAGCAGTCAGAAGAGAGGTGAAAGTTCCCCAGACCTCACCTGCCTCAGTCCCTGTCCCACCTGTGCCCTTTGTCAGTGGGTGTGCAAGTCGCGCAGGCCAGGAACCAGGAAATTGTTCCTGGAAGCCCGCAGAGCCGAGCGCACCCCGCTACTCTGCCCTCTCCCCCTCTCTTGCTGCCCGCACCGCCGCTACCCTGGTTTGGGCCTCTCCCCGCTGTTGGAGTGGCTTCCTTGCAGGCCTCCATCGCCCCTGTTCTCCCAGCCCCACGGAGAGCATTGTAAGACACCGATCTCATCTTGTCCCTCCCCGTAAAACCTCCAGGGGCGTCACCGTCAGCACAGTGCAGGGTAAGACGCGCCTCCTGAGAGGCACACAGGCCTCCCGTCTCTCCCGGCCCTGAGTGCACGCTGCTGGGCCCCCGCCGCGGCTCTGTCACAGCTCTGCCTGGCACGCCGGCCCTTCCTCCGGCTGCTCTTTCTGCGCGCCCAGGCCTGCTCTCTCCCCCGGAGCCTTTCCTGACCTGCTCGCCCTTGCCTTCTGACCTTCTCTTTGTTCCCACCACCCGCCGGAGAAGGGAGCGGCGCCCGCAGAGCCCTGGTTGTGTCTCCTCAAAAGCATGGTTTACCTCTGCCCCCTCACCGGCCCGTGAGCACCCGAAGGGGGAAGGTGTTGGGGGAAGGTGCTCGGGACTCGGGGCGGTGGCCAGCGCGGGGTGCGGAGGAGCGCAGCCCCGCGCTGGGTCAGGCAGCGCACGCTTGCGGGGACAGAGCACGCCTGCCCGTGTCTCCTCAGCTGCTCACACTCGCACCCCCCTCCCCCGCCAGGTGTGCTGTTTGCCCAGAAGCCCGTGGTCCACCTCATCGCGGGGCCCGCCCCCCAGAGCCTGGGTGGCAGCGCGAGCGGCAGCAGCAGCTCCCACTGCTCGCCGAGTCCTACCTCGTCCCGGGGCACCCCCAGCGCCGAGCCCTCCACCAGCTGGTCCCTCTGAGGGGCAGGACCCAGCTCCCCACGCCCCACTCTCCTGTCGAGAGTGGAGGAGGTTGATGCACAGAATTTACCTCATCTCACGGAGCCCATGTCAAACACCATTTGGCCAGATGTTGAGAGTTTGGACGTGTCCGTCTGTCCAGGCTCCGTTCAGGTCCTGCTGTACTCTGGGGACAGGGAGAGGCTGCAGGGGCAGGACAGGGCAGCGTTGTCCAATCAGGGATCGCCCTGGAGAACCGGGCGGGGTCTGCGGGCGTCCAGCTTCCTCCCGGGTTCCCAGGCCACCTCCTGTCCTGGGCACAGTGTGTCGACAATCTGTAAGCCAGCACAGGGCTGGAGGCCCTCCACAGCCCTTCCCCTTTAATTTATTGCCCTTCCCCTGCCTTCTGTCAGGACCCCAGGGTCACTGGCCACTTCCCCTGCTCAGTCCTCCAATCTTTAACTCCCACGTGGGGCTGCTAGGGGCCAAGACCATGCCTTCACGGCCTTTCTCTGCTGAGCATGGGATGGGGCCCTCCTAACCCGCCTTGACTACCATGTTTGGTTCCAGGGGTGTGGGTCCCTCAAATCCAAGTCTTGAAGCAGTCCTCAGGGCCCCATACTCCCCTTTTAGTGGTCCCAGGAAAAGGGGCACACGAGGGCAGTCCTCAAGTCCCAGGGCTTACCGGGTACCTGCTGAGGGAGAGGCAGAGCCTCAGGGGGCTGGCTGCCCAGGCAGGCCCTGGCACCCATTTCACACTGACCTTTTTCTGGCCCTCCCAGACCTCACGCCCTCACTCGCCCTTGTTGGCCAGCTCTCCCAAGAACAGCCCACTTGTCCCTTGGGCCCTCCCTTCTCATGGGGCTGCCTCAGCCCCGGCATCCCCAAACCTGCTGATGTCAGGTTCATTGAAATACCTCAGATTTGTAATTGTTGATGTTTGATTCTTCAGGAAGTATTTGCATCTCTGAAATCTTTTTTATATGCGTTTTGCTGACTTTTTTGTTTTTAATTTTTATTGTTGTTACTGTAGCACCAAAGAAATGAAAGCAGATCACCCCCAAAGCCGAGCAAACATTTGGTACCCCAGCCCCTCTGGCCCTTCGCTAAGACCCCAGTGAGGAGGCGGGGAGGCAGGCAGGAGAGATGACTCAGGGATCACAGTGGCGGGGGAAGCGGTGGAACGAGAGGCCCATGCTCATGAAGGTTGGGTCCTGAGACCACACGGTTCAGGAGATGGCCCCTGACCCATTTCCTGCCGGAGCAAGGCTTGTCGCACACCCCTCCCTGGCTCCCCAGGGTGGGGACAGAACGGTTGCCCTTCACTCAGCATTCCCATCTCAGGGTAGGGGCAGGCCAGAGAGGCTGAGCTGCCCCAGGGGATAAGGGGATGCTGTGAACTCCGTCCTCCTCTGGGACCCTGGGCTGGAGCAGGTTGCTCCCATGTTGGAAAGATGAGTGGTTGTCACACAGGGCTCCCCTCTCATTGAGTACGCCCTGCAGAGCTCATAGAACACCACCCACTGTGACATCATCAGGCTCTGATGGTGACAGGCCACATCGCTGGCGGGAGCCCTGGTGCGGCTAGCATTCGGCCCTGTCTATGAAAGGAAAAGGAAATCAAAAGCTTGAGCACAAAACAGCTACCTCAGCCTGGTAAGCTGCAGCTCTGCTGGACTTCATCTTCTCGCTCCCCTCCCCAGGCTTCCACACACTCGCTCTCACACACTCACACAGCCCCGTCCACTGGGGCCTGACCCTCTTCTGGCCTCAGGAGCCTTCCCACCTTACCCACCAGGTAAGCGCAGGTGGTGAGCAGAGAAGAGCGTCTGGGATCTGGTGCCAGGGAGGAGCCCAGTTGGCTGGCGCTGGGCCCACTTGAAAGTGTCACAACATTTGGCCAGTGTGTCTTTCTCAGGGGTTTGGTTACAAAGGATGGACTCTTCCCAGCCAGAGGACGCAGGGACAGTGCACTGTGGCTTTCTGGTCATTGGATCCTCTCCCCTTCCCCACGCAGCTTGAAAGCCCAAGAGAGGGGATGCCAGCAGGTGTCCCAGGAGTAGGGCCCCAGGCAAGAGAAGCTTTCCCTGAAGGGCACAGGGCAGGCTGTGGGCCAGGGCTGCTCTGGGCTCCCCCCCCCCCCCCCCGTCTATGTGTACTCTGACCAGGAAAATGTTCTAGCACATGGGTAGCCTAGGCAGTGATAAATACCTCAGACGTCCTCTTGCAGCAAGTGTCTGTATATGTGGTGGTTATTTTCTATCTTACATGTTCTCGAATGTTTATATTTCAATAAACCTCTACCTCTTCACACAAGCAGGTCTCTTGGGTGCTTTCTGTGACTCTCCCAGTGGGCAGTGAGACCCCAGAGTGCTCAGCCTTTTTTTCTGCCATGATACACATCCTATGGCTACAACCCAGTTTTGGTGCAACCAAAAGAAATAGGCAGGGAGGGAAAGCATGGGGGATCTATAGCTGCCCTCTTCCGCAACAACACATGCCTCACCTGTCTGTGCAGCCCTCTGAGGCAGGCAGATGGGGACCTCTTTGCCGTTTGGAAGTGCTAGCAGATGAGGGAGACACTGGGACAGTCTTGAGCTTCTCTCACTGATTTCTAAACACCTTTTGAAAGAAATGAACCGTCCTTTAGTGTTTTGTTTTTTAAGATTTTATTGATTGATTTGAGCAAGAGAGAAAGAGAGCAGAAGTCGGGGGAGAAGGAGGAGCAGACTCCCCGCAGAGCAGGGAGCCCAACTCGGGGCTCGATCCCAGGACCCCAGGATCACGCTTAACCAACTGAGCCACCCAAGCACCTTTGTAGTGCATTTTCAAAAAATAATCTCTACACCCAACGTGGGGCTCAAACCCACAACCCTGAGATCAAGAGTTGCCTGCTCTACTGACTGAGCCAGCCAGGCATCCCCAGTCCTTTAATAACTGGTAACCAGTAGTTGGTATCACATCTGACAGCTTCCTTTGACACAGCAGGGAGCTGCCACGTGGAGCCGCAGTGGGCCTAGCCTAGCAGAGATGAAGAGAAGCAGGGTCCAGAGACCTCCAAGGTGGAAACAGTGCTCTGTGACTGCAGGGGGATGCTGAGGGAGAAAGTGGCAGATGCGTAAGGCTCCTGACAGACCTGGAGAATCTAGGAAGAACAAAGTGCCAGGCCACTGCAATTCCGTCCCATTTCGAATTAACAAGAAAATACAGAAGAACATCTTAAAGACCTTGAGCAAGGAAAGAATTTCTCAAATTAGACCCTCCAAAAGAGTTTACCAAAAGATACCAGTATTTAAAATGACAAACTGGGGTGGGGGGGGGGCAGACTCCTGGATGGCTCAGTTGTTTAAGCATCTGCCTTCGGCTCAGGTCCTGATCTCAGGGTCCTGAGATTGAGCCCCAAATCGGGCTCCCTGCTCAGAGAGCCTGCTTCTCCCTCTTCCTCTGCCTGTTGCTCCCCTTGCTGTGCTCTCTCTGTCAAAAAATAAAATCTTAAGAAAGGGGGGGGGGGCAAAAAGAAGGGCTGGGGAGAGGGGGCAAAGTCATGAACAGGTGTTTTGTAGAAGAGGAAATACAAATGGCTGGACCTCATTGTGATCAAGGAAATGCGCAGAAAGCCATTCCACACCATCAGATTGGCACAAACTTTAGTCTTACAATGCCAGGTTTTGGCAGGGATGGATAGCAATGGGAACTCTCACAGACTGCCAGGGAGTGTAAATTAGTCTAACCACTTTGGAAAACATTTTGGCATTACCTAGTAAAGTGACACATGCCCAGCAATTCTGCTCCTAGGTTTGTACCCCAGAGGAACTGCAAGGATGCCCCCAGGAGACCTGAGAGCAAATTTCTGAAGGCTGGTGTGTGCTGTTTAAGTTCTTTGCGTGAATTAACTCCTTGGATCCTCTAAACATTTATGAGATGAGACTATTATCCCCATTTTACAGATGAGGAAACTGAGGCACAGAGAAGCTGAGTAACTAGGCTGAGTTCTTTTAACTAGTGAGAAGAGCTTGCAGGGCTTTTAATTCAGTGGCGACAGAGCCCAAAGTCTGCCCTCCCCACAACTGCTAAGCATTCTACACACAGTGTCTCATGTCCACTCCACCCACACCCCTATGAGGCAGTGACTTTGTTCATTTTACAGATGAAGAAACTAAAGAGCAGGAATGTGCTCGAAGTCACACATCTAGTGAATGGCAGGGCTGGGAATGGACTAATCAGCTGCCCTAACCTCTCCTGCATGTGCCTCCCTTCAGTGAGGGGCGGGGGCGACCCAGCCCGGTGACAGAAGGAAGCAGAGGTTGGAGGGTGTGTTTAGTTGTCCCAAGGCTCCGTTCTGCCCATATCCCCCTTGCTCTCTGCACAGCCGGGAGTCACCTGCCGGCCACTAGCAGCCCCAAGGTGCTCCAGAGACGCCGTGCCGGCTCCCCGCCGTAACCTCCCCCCACCTCATTGGTCAGGGCTGGTCACGTGCCCTCCACATAGCCAATGGGAGCGAGGGGGCGGGGCGACCAAGCGCGGTGCGGGGAGGGAAGCCCGGACGCCGACTGCGCCTTCGCCTGACAGTCCCTGCCCGGAAGGAAAGGAGAGTTGGTGGCTTGCGGCTTCTGAAAGAAGGTTCGGAATCACCACCGGAGGGAAGGGAAGAAGGAACCGACCAGAGAGGCAGGACCGGGACGAGTAGGGGGCCCTGCTGCGCTTGGAAACAGTGAGGTACAAAGCCCGGCAGCAGCTGGGACACAAGGACAGACAAGAAGGCCAACGGGTGGCGGGGTCGCCCTCTGTGGCAGAAGGCAAACAGGAGCCGGTCTGCGGGAGTGAGCCGGTGGAGGGTGGGTGCCTGGCCTGAAGGGAGGGCCCTCCGGGAGGGCAGCACTCTGGTTTGGAGCGCACTGGGTCCTTGGCAGGGGACCCAAACCACTCAGGCCCATGTAAGCAGAAAGGAGAGGGATTTATTTTCCGGGTGTGGAGGACCCCAAGGACAGTGGAACCTGGGGCTGGCCTCAGCAAGCGCTGCCAATGGAACGTACTCCTCTCCTTCTGAAGACCAGCTCGCCCTGCTGCCCCGGAGCAAGGCGACATGACCATCCCAGAGGTCAAGTTTATGTCTTTTCCATACAAGAGACCTCCTGGGCTGACCCAAAATCTCGCCATCCCAATTCCACTTCCTGGGAATTGTCGGCTCCATTTGCTCTCACTGAAATTAAGCTTTTTCTGCCGTGAAAAACAGCAGTTGACAGTTCCCAAGTTCTCTCTGTGTCCAGTCTTCAGCCCTGGAGAGACTACGATTTTGTCTCAAGTCTAGTGATCAGGAAGGGGCCACTGGCTCAGTTGGGCTCAGGACCCAGTGCTGGACCCATCCACTGAGAACTCAGCAGCCCCCACTGCAGTGGTGTGAATGGCAGGGAGGGCAGAGAACATTTTGCAGAAACGACACTGAGAAACAATCTCAGAGGTGTTCTGTTCTTCCACCCTGCCAGATTCGCCCTCTGCAGAACTCTGCTTCAGTTAAGTCAGTAGATGGAGGAAGTTAAGTAGAGTGACGGAGCTGAGTAGGGTTCCAATTTTGGAAGCACATGGCCCAGCTGACAGAGCTCTGTAGGGCAAGGAAACACACAGCAGGGTAGGGAGGGAAGTTCAGAAAGAGAAAAATGGTCAGGTGACCTCGAGGGAGGTTAACTCTAAGTCAGCCTTGCCTGTGGCCATTGAAGATGGCCATTCTATCAAGCTCAGAAACGAGAAATCACCTTTCTGGGACAGGTTAGGGGAACCAGGGGGTTTAGCTGCTGTTTTGCTATATGACTTTGGGCATGTTACTGCCCTTGTCTGGGCAGTTTCCCTATCTGTAAAATGGGGACTACAGAGTGATCTATAGATCACAAGTGAATCAGAAATCACTTTGAAAAGTCTAAAGCCCAGTGCCCAAGGCCTTCACCAGCAAGACAGAAGGCCCGTGGTCATCATTCTGCTGGCACCAAAGCGATGAATGGACCAACAAGCCCCACAAGGACCCCAGAACCCCACTGGCCACTCCCTGCCCAGCTCTACTCCTAGCCACAGGGTCCCCCCTGGGAAAGGGCAGGTGGCCTCATCCACTGAGAGTCAGGAACCTTGTGCCAACAAGGGCATTTCAGGCCCTCTATGGCAGGCAGGGGACAGGGAGGCCTCTGACTGCAGCCACCTGTGACAGGTCCCGTGGCTCAGGCCTGACAGAAACCCTGGCATGGGGGGCTAAAGGCATAGCCATACAGGCCTCCCCTCTCCCCGGGGAGTCCTTGCCCACCCTTGGTTCCTAAAGCCTGTCAGTCTGCTGTCAGCTCACTGTGGGCAAAGGGCGGACCTCAGTCTCTTGTGTGGCAGAGTGACACTCTAGGCCTCAGTCTCCACACCACCTTTCTCCCCCAGTCGGGGCGCTGCCCTGGTTGCCAGCTTTTCTCAGACCTCTCCTCCCTGGCTCTTGGGCTTTGTCTGACATCTGGGGACAGATGAAGCAGCAGCTGAGCCCATAGAGGGCAGAGAGGCAGGGCAGGTACCAGGTGTGGAGTAACTCCAGCTCTACCCAGGAAAGGGGAGGCGAGCTGAGGAATCCATTCAGAATCAGCAAAGGCCCAAGCTGGAAGGACCCTCTGGGCCTGTTTCCACCCCCGCCCCCAGCTTGCAGATGGGGAGACAAGGCAGAGAGAGAAACTGGGCCTGGGTCTCACAGGGAGGCAGGGGTCACTCTGCTTGCTTCTCTGGAGAGTCCCCAGCTATTACCTTCAGGGGTTGAGAGGTGACTGGAGGTTCCTGCCCTCCCGGTGCTAGAGTACTGATGCTCAGAGCTGCACCGGCTCCTGCCCTCTGGGGACCCTGTTCAGCCTGAGGGTCAGAACTCTTGGAGTTGACCCCATTCTCTAAGGGGTCCCCAGAGAGCAGTTGAAGCAAAAGATAGAAGTCCGCATCCCATGAGGCTCCTCCATGCAGGGTCAGAAAGATGAGGACCTCCACGGTATTCAAGTATAAAGCAGGAGCTGCTCCAGGCAGTGGAACATGCTACATTGTCTATCATTGGCGGCTGCATATTACAGCACATTGTTTCCTGAGTTTATTAATTGTAAATAATGCCTTGTTGATGAAATACTAGATAAATAGACTTTGTGACTAAAGCCCTATATGCAGGTGGTCTTGGGCACACCTCCATGGTTTTATGACTTTAGTACTGACTCACCCTAACTGGACCCCAGGGGAAACTCAGGGGGACCAGGCAGCAGGCACGGAGCCAGGCGCACCGTCTCATGTAATCCTCACATGATCCTCTGAGATAGGTAAGGTGG